AAATTAGGCAATGAAGTCAACGGGTTAGTAAGAAAAAGCATAACATCATCAGCATACATGCTCATTTTAAATTGTGAGACTAACAATGGGTAGCCTGAAATATCCGGTGTGTGATCTGATCGCTACTGCCAAGGGTTCCAACACCAGTGCAAATAAAAGGGGTGAAAGGGGACAGCCCTGACGGGTACCTCTACCCAATGTGAAAAAGTCTGAATTGCAGCCAGGGAGCCGTATTCTTGTCTTCGGAGAGTCATATAAGGCGTGTATACCGGCTAAAAAATTCGTCATTAAAGCCCTTTTTTTCGTAGCAAGGAAAACATATAGGGCCAAAGAACACTGTCAAAGGCCTTGTTTATATCCAGACTCATCAGCAGGACCTCTTTTAGAATGTAAATTGGCATCTTGAATAACATTGAGCGTGAGGCGAATATTATCAGTGATAAATCTGTCTGGGATAAATCCAGATTGGTCCGGAGAGACCAAAGAGGAGATAATAGGAACCAACCTGTCGCCGCCAAAATGCGGCTAAATATTTTCAGATCATTATTCATTACTGAGATTGGTCTATAATTTTGTGGTAAGCTGTGATCTTTCTGTGGTTTGGGTATTAAAGACATGTTAGCCAACAGCAGCATCTCCTCCGGGAACCTACCCCCCTGCAAAACATCATTAAATAAAGTTATCAGATAGGGAGCCAAAGTAGAGGCAAAATGTTTTGTAATAACTAGCAGTGAACCCGTCTGGACCTGGCGCAGTAGAGCTTTTCAGGGCGCTAATTGCACGAGTTATCTCCTCCAGAGTGCAGGGGGCATTAAGGAGAAGCAACTTGAGAAGGTGTGAGAGCAGGGAGGGGTGTAGAATCCAGCCACGAGGCTGCTGGTGAAACAGAGTCCGACCGTGGAGGGGCTAATAGGTTAGAATAAAAGTTTTCAAAAATGCCCAAAAACCTCCTGAGGCAGATGAGATAGCACCCGAGTTAGTACGCAATTTTATAAATATGTGTGGGGGCGCATGGAGTGATTCAGTTTTCCTTGCAAAACATAGTGGAAGCCGAGTTGCTATGTAACAAAAAACGAGGCTTTTGACCAGCGAGAGCTTTTTTCAGTTTTTTTGGATAGCAGAGTATTCAATTCTAAGCGCTTTTGAGATAATAACTGTTTATTAAGAAGAGATGGGTTAGCAATATGACTTCGGTAATGTGCTTCCAACTCTCGGGTAAGAAGCAGAATTTGCTGCCATCGTTTTCTATTTCCGGATGAAGCCATAGAAATAAGGCGGCCTCGTAGGACCGCTGTATTATGGGCTACCCATAATGTGGCTGGAGAAATATCAGGAGTCGAATTAGATTGAAAATATTCCAAAATAGATGCAGCTACTTCAGGGCGGGAGGTCAACATCCGTAAGCATAGAATCATTGAGTCTCCATGAGAAGGGAGTGGGTGCAAGTCCCATACATGTGATAGACAAGGCTTATAATATTGTGATCCGACCAAGGACTCAAGTGGATGTTAGCTATCCTAGAGTTTGCTAATAAAATAGGGGTGGCAATAAATATAGTCTAATCTAGCATAAAAAGTCATGTGGGTGAGAATAAAATGAATATTCTCAATAGCTCCTACAATATGCCGCCCTCCAGGCATCTACTAACTGGAGGGCCTCTAGTCTTTTAGTAAGTGATTTTTTGGGAAGGCGTGGGAAGAGTGCAAGGGTGAGCTATGGTCCAAAAGAGGATTTGCTACCAGGTTGAAATCACCACCCACCAATAGAGATGGGGTGACAAAAATCTATCAAGAACATCAAAAAATTTTGAGAAAAAGGTAGCTTGTGCCGAATTCGGTGCATAAACATTTGCTATTGTTAAGTTCTCGGCCTGAAAGGGTGCCCTTAAGAATAATAAACCTACTGTCTGGATCACGGTACACATGTTGAACCTCAAAGGGGATTGAAATATGCAGAAAAATGGGCCACCCCTCTACTCTTGGAGGAGTGTAAAGTATAATACCCTTGTCTATAAGATTTTTGAAAATATGTTCGGGTGTTTTTGCGGCTGCAAAATGTGTTTCCTGCAATAAAATAAGTTTAGCCCCTAATCGCCTATACTGAGAAAGGCTGTTTTTGCGCTTGTTTGGCGAATTGAAACCCTGGACATTATGCGAGATACATTGAATCACCATAATATGCAAAAATTATTACTATCAGCAAAAAAATACACATTGACAAGACATATACTCGAATTATTTGGCTTAGATGTAAGGACCTTTCAAGTCCATAACAAATAGACTTACGGTAGCATTACCAGTCTGGGGGACATCCAGACCCCAAAATGGGGTCGTGACGTCCACACACCGGCATCAAGCCAACATCATGTACTAAAGTCTTTTGAGGAAAAAAAAGACAAAAAACAGTAAAAGTGAAGCAACGATAGCTTCGACAATGAAAAGAGTAACTGAGAGACATGGATCAGGTATGCAATTAGCTGTACCTGAAAAAACAAAAAATTTCAACATCAAAGGGCCAATCGGGCCCAAACCCTGTCTCCATAACACATGAAAAACGGAGCCGTCACCCCACAATTCGGGCGGTGGTGATTTCCTCCGGTCATGTCAGGAGGCAGGGTGGGGTAACGTGTCCAAGAGTTGTGAGAACCATGAATCATGTGGGCGATATTCAAGGGCCCGAAGACCCTTGTTAGACTTAAAACATCCATCCGTTATCAACGAGTTCGGTTTCCTGGAGCGATACATAGTCTATATAAACACAGAAACAGCACAACAGCGTCCATAAAAAAACACATAACCCAAGGTGTAGGGGATGCTGAAAAATAGAAACCCTGTGGGTTGCCTCCTATCCCAATCAAGGGAAACACAGACCAGGAACATCGATGCAAGTAATAATAGGCAGGAAGGCATGGTCCCATCAGCCTAGTTCTTGTCGGGCCTCCTTCCTGTCCCTCCGTGGAGATGGAGTGTGCCAGATAGGAGAGACACGAGAGGTGTAGGGGGAGGACGCTGAGGCGATGGGGCATCCGCCAGGCCCAACTTGGTCAGGATCTCTCTGCCTTCAGGAAGGGATGTAGCAATATATGTGCTCCCATTATGTGGAACTATCAACTTAAAAGGGAAGCCCCATTTATAACGGATACGAGCTGAAAAGAGAGCCGTTGTAACCTCCTTCATTTTCCTGCGCTTCTCCAATGTAGCCGTAGCCGGAGAACATCTGGAAAAATTTGTAAAACCGAGCCTTCAAAGGAGATCGTTGGAGTATTGCGAGCAGCTCTAGAGTATGTCTTCTTTGGTCAGGAAATCCTTTAGACACAGAACAATGTCCCTAGGCGGTTTTATCACTAGGGGGTTTAGGGCGCAGGGCTCTATGGATGCGATCACAGGCAAAAGGACCCGGGGATGCGATCCGGAAGGAGAGATTTGAATAGCTTGGTAACGGTTTGTGAGAGATCAGATACAGATTCCGGAATTCCCCTGACTCGCAGGTTATTTCTGCGGTTGCGATTATCAAGGTCCTCAACCTGTGCCTGCAATTGTAAAAAAGGCCGTTTGTAGATGATCATGTTCTCTGGAAAGGTCCCCATAGGCCAGGCTAAGTTCATCATGTTTAGTTTCCAAGCGATCGGTTCTAGAGCCCAATGTGGCTATTTCCTGAGAGAGAACATTAGTGCTTTTGTGTAATTCTGATTGGAATTTGGCGGCCAGTTTGGTGTACATGGTTTCCAAGCAAGATTCCAGGTCACCCTTTGTAAGTTGCTGTGCATCTTCACTGACCAGAGTTAATGAAGGAGCTGTGATATCCCGCATGGGTTCGGATGGGGATGCTCGTTCTGCGTCACCTGGAGACATGTTGCAAATCTCGTGTGTCTTAAGTAGATATGTAGTGAGGGACTTTTGAGGAGAAATATAATACTGTCAGGCAGTATGACATGCAGATGAGTGCCGTCGATCTTAGAATCACCGCACACTTCACTCATTTGGCCAGTCACGGGGCCAAAACCAGAGTGTGGAGCCACAGTGTGGCGGTGGACAGCAGCAATGGGAGGCCATACAGCACCCTATGACAAAAATGGAAACCACCACCAGCAGTGTGAGGAGACCTGAAAGTGGCACATGGCAGAGTGTGGCGATAGAGACAGCAGCAATGGGAGGCCGTACAGGGACCCATGACACACTCTGGACCTGGCAGCAGCATGAGGAGGCGGAGGCGGTACAGGGGCCCATGGCAGATTACGGGCCTGGCAGCAGCATGAGGAGTCGGTACGGGGGCCCATGGCAGATTACAGGCCTGGCAGCAGCAATGGGAGGCCGTACAGGGACCCATGACACAATCTGGACCTGGCAGCAGCATGGGGAGGCGGTACAGGGGCCCATGACAGATTACGGGCCTGGCAGCAGCATTTGGAGTCGGTACGGGGGCCCATGACACACTCTGGACCTGGCAGCAGCATGAGGAGGCGGTACAGGGGCGCATGACAGATTACGAGAGCCTGGCAGCAGCAACTTGGACAGGAGGACGTTCAGTTTCTGCACCGTCTGGTGCGTGCTCGCAAACTGTTGTCTCTTGGAAACGGATTCCAAGAAAGACTGCTGACGGAATCCGTGAAGAGAGAGGAGTAGCAGGAGAAGGAGCATCTGAACGAGCGGAATATGCCAACAAGCGACAACAGGGGCCCATGACAGATTACGGGCCTGGCAGCAGCATGAGGAGTCGGTACGGGGGCCCATGGCAGATTAGGGGCCTGGCAGCAGCTATGGGAGGCCCGTAATCTGCCAGCACCCTATGACAAAAAATGGAACCCACCAGCAGTGTGAGGAGACCTGAAAGTGGCACATGGCAGAGTGTGGCGATGGAGACAGCAGCAATGGGAGGCCGTACAGGGACCCATGACAGACTCTGGACCTGGCAGCAGCATGAGGAGGCGGTATATAGGGGCCCATGGCAGATTAGGGGCCTGGCAGCAGCTATGGGAGGCCCGTAATCTGCCAGCACCCTATGACAAAAAATACACACCAGCAGTGTGAGGAGACCTGAAAGTGGCACATGGCAGAGTGTGGCGATGGAGACAGCAGCAATGGGAGGCCGTACAGGGACCCATGAGAGACTCTGGACTTGGCAGCAGCATGAGGAGGCGGGTATAGGGGCCCATGGCAGATTAGGGGCCTGGCAGCAGCTATGGGAGGCCCGTAATCTGCCAGCACCCTATGACAAAAAATGGAACACACCAGCAGTGTGAGGAGACCTGAAAGTGGCACATGTTTGGGGCATGATTCATGGCGGATTTAGTCAGTTGTGTCAGGAACTGGTGGTTTGAAATCCAGACTAATCCACGCCTGATTCATTTTCACAAACGTCAGTCTCTCCACACTTTGGGTGGACAGTCGTGTCCTCCGCGGAGTTGCAATACCTCCTGCCGCACTAAACACGCGCTCCGATGCCACGCTACTGGCCGGGCATGACAGCCTTTCAAGGGCAAATTCAGCTAGTTGGGGCCAAATCAAGGTCAAGTTTCGTTGCCCAGTAGTCAAGGGGATTGTCTACCTCGGTTGGCAGGGTGCTGTCCAAGTAGGCCTAAGCCTGTTGTTTGAGGTCCTGCTCCAGGTCCACCTGATGCTGCTGCTGCTGCTGCTGCTGCTGCTGCTGCTGCGGCTGGTTAGTAGTTTCCTCACTGCGCTGGTGAAGAAAGCTACTCATCATCGACTGCAGACTGAGGCAGCCGCTGCTGGTGGAGCTGCCACTGCTCCTACCACCCCACCCCTCCCCTGCTGCCATGGCAGCGGAACGCGAGCGCACAGGGCCCACAGTGTCTGAGGATGGACGTTGGCGCAGACAGGCAGAGACCAGCTGACTACATAGGTGGTTTTTATAGTACGTTATTTTGGCCTCCCTCTCAGCAGGTGTGAAAAAGGCCACCATTTTTGAACGGTAGCGAGGGTCCAACAAGGTGGACAGCCAAAAGTCATCCCTCTGTCTGATGGTTATTATTCGGCTGTCGCTACGCAAGCAAGCGAGCATGCTATGGGCCATTTGTGCCAAGGAATGCGAGGGACTCCCTGCCTCCATCTCCACAGCATACTGCCACGGTGCGTCTGGGTCCTCTGTCTCCTCCTCCTCCTCCTCCTCTACCAGATGCTCCTGCTCCTCCACTCCTGTCCGCTGAGTGGAAAAACCACCCATTTCACTCAATAATTCCTGAGCACCAATGTCCTCCTCTACCTCCTCCTCTTCTTCCTGTCCTGCCCCCACAGGGGTCATGTGGCGTTGAGATCTGTGCGCCACGTCTACCGCACCCTGACCAGCCATTGTTAACAGCATTTGTTCCAGGACGTGCAACAGAGGAATGACGTCGTTCATCCCATAGTCCTGCCGACTCACGAATAGCGTGGCCTCCTCAAAGGGCCTGAGCAAGCGCAGGTGTCACGCATGAGCTGCCAATGGCTGACATCTAAGTTACACAGGGAGTACCTTTATCCGCTTTTAACATCAGGAAATCTGTGATGGCCTCGCTGCTGTTCGTAAGGGCGGTCTAACATATGTAGGGTTGAATTCCACCTTGTTGCAACGTCACAGCATGAGGAGTCGGTACGGGGGCCCATGGCAGATTACGTGCCTGGCAGCAGCAATGGGAGGCCCGTAATCTGCCAGCACCCTATGTCAAAAAATTCAACACACCAGCAGTGTGAGGAGACCTGCACATGGCAAAGTGGCACATGGCAGAGTGTGGCGATGGAGACAGCAGCAATGGGGCCGTACAGGGACCCATGACAGACTCTGGACTGGCAGCAGCATGAGGAGGCGGTATATAGGGGCCCATGGCAGATTAGGGGCCTGGCAGCAGCTATGGGAGGCCCGTAATCTGCCAGCACCCTATGTCAAAAAAAATTCTACACACCAGCAGTGTGAGGAGACCTGAAAGTGGCACATGGCAGAGTGTGGCGATGGAGACAGCAGCAATGGGAGGCCGTACCAGGGACCCATGAGAGACTCTGGACCTGGCAGCAGCATGAGGAGGCGGTATATAGGGGCCTATGGCAGATTAGGGGCCTGGCAGCAGCTATGGGAGGCCCGTAATCTGCCAGCACCCACCCTATGTCAAAAAAACACACACACCAGCAGTGTGTGAGGAGACCTGAAAGTGGCACATGGCAGAGTGTGGCGATGGAGACAGCAGCAATGGGAGGCCGTACAGGGACCCATGAGAGACTCTGGACCTGGCAGCAGCATGAGGAGGCGGTATATAGGGGCCTATGGATTAGATTAGGGGCCTGGCAGCAGCTATGGGAGGCCCGTAATCTGCCAGCACCCTATGTCAAAAAATTCACACACACACACCAGCAGTGTGTGAGGAGACCTGAAAGTGGCACATGGCAGAGAGTGTGGCGATGGAGACAGCAGCAATGGGAGGCCGTACAGGGACCATGATGAGACTCTGGACCTGGGCAGCAGATGAGGGCGGTATAGGGGCCTATGGCAGATTAGGGGCCTGGCAGCAGCTATGGGAGGCCCATAATAATCTGCCAGCACCCTATGTCAAAAAATTCTACACACCAGCAGTGTGTGAGGAGACCTGAAAGTGGCACATGGCAGAGTGTGGCGATGGAGACAGCAGCAATGGGAGGCCGTACAGGGACCCATGACAGACTCTGGACCTGGCAGCAGCAGGAGGAGGCGGTATATAGGGGCCTATGGCAGATTAGGGGCCTGGCAGCAGCTATGGGAGGCCCGTAATCTGCCAGCACCCTATGTCAAAAAAACACACCAGCAGTGTGTGTGAGGAGACCTGAAAGTGGCACATGGCAGAGTGTGGCGATGGAGACAGCAGCAATGGGAGGCCGTACAGGGACCCATGAGAGACTCTGGACCTGGCAGCAGCAGCATGAGGAGGCGGTATATAGGGGCCTATGGCAGATTAGGGGCCTGGCAGCAGCTATATGGGAGGCCCATAATCTGCCAGCACCCTATGTCAAAAAATTCTACACACCAGCTGTGTGTGAGACCTGAGGAGACCTGAAAGTGGCATGGCATGGCAGAGTGTGGCGATGGAGACAGCAGCAATGGGAGGCCAGGTACACCCATGAGAGGACTCTGGACCTGGCAGCAGCATGAGGAGGGCGGTATATAGGGGCCTATGGCAGATTAGGGGCCTGGCAGCAGCTATGGGAGGCCCGTAATCTGCCAGCACCCTATCAAAAAAAAAATTCTACACACCAGCAGTGTGTGTGAGGAGACCTGAAAGTGGCACATGGCAGAGTGTGGCGATGGAGACAGCAGCAATGGGAGGCCGTACAGGGACCCATGACAGACTCTGGACCTGGCAGCAGCATGAGGAGGCGGTATATAGGGGCCTATGGCAGATTAGGGGCCTGGCAGCAGCTATGGGAGGCCCGTAATCTGCCAGCACCCTATGTCAAAAAATTCTACACACCAGCAGTGTGTGAGGAGACCTGAAAGTGGCACATGGCAGAGTGTGGCGATGGAGACAGCAGCAATGGGAGGCCGTACAGGACCCATGAGAGACTCTGAGACTCTGGACCTGGCAGCAGCATGAGGAGGCGGCGGTATATAGGGGCCTATGGCAGATTAGGGGCCTGGCAGCAGCTATGGGAGGCCCATAATCTGCCAGCACCCTATGTCAAAAAATTCTACACACCAGCAGTGTGAGGAGACCTGAAAGTGGCACATGGCAGAGTGTGGCGATGGAGACAGCAGCAATGGGGACGTACAGGGACCATGAGCAGTGGATGAGCAGATGAGGAGTATATAGGGGCCCATGGCAGGGGGCCTGCAGCAGCATGGGAGGCCCGTAATCTGCCAGCACCCTATGTCAAAAAATTCTACACACCAGCAGTGTGAGGAGGGACCTGAAAGTGGCACATGGCAGAGTGTGGGATGGAGACAGCAGCAATGGGAGGCCGTACAGGGACCCATGCAGACTCTGGACCTGGCAGCAGCATGAGGAGGCGGTATATAGGGGCCTATGGCAGATTAGGGGCCTGGCAGCAGCTATGGGAGGCCCATAATCTGCCAGCACCCTATGTCAAAAAAAAACACACACCAGCAGTGTGTGAGGAGACCTGAAAGTGGCACATGGCATGGAGACAGCACAATGGGAGGGACCCATGAGAGACTCTGGACCTGGCAGCAGCATGAGGAGGCGGTATATAGGGGCCCTGGCAGATTAGGGGCCTGGCAGCAGCTATGGGAGGCCCATAATCTGCCAGCACCCTATGTCAAAAAAAAATTCTACACACCAGCAGTGTGTGAGGACCTGACCTGAAAGTGGCACATGGGCAGTGGTGTGGAGACAGCAGCAATGGGAGCAATGGAGAGGCCGCATGGACAGGGACCCATGGCAGACTCTGGACCTAGGGGGCAGCAGCATGAGGAGGCGGTATATAGGGGCCTATGGCAGATTAGGGGCCCTGGCAGCAGCTGGCAGCAGCTATGGGAGGCCCGTAATCTGCCAGCACCCTATGTCAAAAAATTCACACACCAGCAGTGTGTGAGGAGACCTGAAAGTGGCACATGGCAGAGTGTGGCGATGGAGACAGCAGCAATGGGAGGCCGTACAGGGACCCATGAGAGACTCTGGACCTGCAGCAGCAGCAGGCGGTATATAGGGGCCTATGGCAGATTAGGGGCCTGGCAGCAGCTATGATGGGAGGCCCGTAATCTGCCTGCACCCAGCACCCTATGTCAAAAAATTCACACAGCAGTGTGAGTGTGTGAGGAGACCTGAAAGTGGCACATGGCAGGTGTGGCGATGGAGACAGCAGCAATGGGAGGCCGTACAGGGACCCATGACAGACTCTGGACCTGGCTGGCAGCAGCATGAGGAGGCGGTATATAGGGGCCTATGGCAGATTAGGGGCCTGGCAGCAGCTATGGGAGGCCCGTAATCTGCCAGCACCCTATGTCAAAAAATCACACACACACCAGCAGTGTGTGAGGAGACCCTGAAAGTGGCACATGGCAGAGTGTGGCGATGGAGACAGCAGCAATGGGAGGCCGTACAGGGACCCATGACAGACTCTGGACCTGGCAGCAGCATGAGGAGGCGGTATATAGGGGCCTATGGCAGATTAGGGGCCTGGCAGCAGCTATGGGAGGCCCATAATCTGCCAGCACCCTATGTCAAAAAATTCTACACACCAGCAGTGTGTGAGAGAGGAGACCTGAAAGTGGCACATGGCAGAGTGTGGCGATGGACAGCAGCAATGGGAGGCCGTACAGGGACCCATGACAGACTCTGGACCTGGCAGCAGCATGAGGGGGGAGGGGCCTATGGCAGATACAGGGGCCTGGCAGCAGAGAGGGACTCTGGACCCTCTACACACCAGCAGTGTGTGAGGGGCAGCAGCATGAGGAGGCGGTATATAGGGGCCTATGGCAGATTAGGGGCCTGGCAGCAGCAGCTATGGGAGGCCCGTAATCTGCCAGCACCCTATGTCAAAAAATTCTACACACCAGCAGTGTGTGAGGAGACCTGAAAGTGGCACATGGCAGAGTGTGGCGATGGAGACAGCAGCAATGGGAGGCCGTACAGGGACCCATGAGAGACTCTGGACCTGGCAGCAGCATGAGGAGGCGGTATATAGGGGCCTATGGCAGATTAGGGGCCTGGCAGCAGCTATGGGAGGCCCGTAATCTGCCAGCACCCTATGTCAAAAAAAAATTCACACACCAGCAGTGTGTGAGGAGACCTGAAAGTGGCACATGGCAGTGTGGCGATGGAGACAGCAGTGGACCCATGAGAGACTCTGGACCTGGCAGCGATGGGGAGGGTATATAGGGGCCCCATGCAGCAGACTCTGGACCTAGGGGCCTGGCAGCAGAGGAGGCGGTATATAGGGGCCTATGGCAGATTAGGGGCCTGGCAGCAGCTATGGGAGGCCCGTAATCTGCCAGCACCCTATGTCAAAAAATTCTACACACCAGCAGTGTGTGAGGAGACCTGAAAGTGGCACATGGCAGAGTGTGGCGATGGAGACAGCAGCAATGGGAGGCCGTACAGGGACCCATGAGAGACTCTGGACCTGGCAGCAGCAGAGGGGTATATAGGGGCCTATGGCAGATAGGGGTATATAGGGGCCTATGGCAGATTAGGGGCCTGGCAGCAGCTATGGGAGGCCCGTAAATCTGCCAGCACCCTATGTCAAAAAATTCTACACACCAGCAGTGTGTGAGGAGACCTGAAAGTGGCACATGGCAGAGTGTGGCGATGGAGACAGCAGCAATGGGAGGCCGTACAGGGACCCATGAGAGACTCTGGACCTGGCAGCAGCATGAGGAGGCGGTATATAGGGGCCTATGGCAGATTAGGGGCCTGGCAGCAGCTATGGGAGGCCCATAATCTGCCAGCACCCTATGTCAAAAAAATTACACACACACCAGCAGTGTGTGAGGAGACCTGAAAGTGGCACATGGCAGAGTGTGGCGATGGAGACAGCAGCAGCAAGGGGAGGCCGTACAGGGACCCATGAGAGACTCTGGGACCTGGCAGCAGCATGAGGAGGCGGTATATAGGGGCCTATGGCAGATTAGGGGCCTGGCAGCAGCTATGGGAGGCCCAATAATCTGCCAGCACCCTATGTCAAAAAAATTCTACACACACCAGCAGTGTGTGAGGAGACCTGAAAGTGGCACATGGCAAAGTGGCACATGGCAGAGTGTGGCGATGGGAGACAGCAGCAATGGGAGGCCGTACAGGGACCCATGAGAGACTCTGGACCTGGCAGCAGCATGAGGAGGCGGTATATAGGGGCCTATGGCAGATTAGGGGCCTGGCAGCAGCTATAGGAGGCCCCCATAATCTGCCAGCACCCTATGTCAAAAAAATTCACACACACCAGCAGTGTGTGAGGAGACCTCAAAGTGGCACATGTTTGAGGCATGATTCATGGCGGATTTAGTCAGTTGTGTCAGGAACTGGTGGTTTGAAATCCAGACTAATCCACGCCTGATTCATTTTCACAAACGTGAGTCTCTCCACACTTTGGGTGGACAGTCGTGTCCTCCGCGGCGGAGTTACAATACCTCCTGCCGCACTAAACACGCGCTCCGATGCCACGCTACTGGCCGGGCATGACAGCCTTTCAAGGGCAAATTCAGCTAGTTGGGGCCAAAGGTCAAGTTTCGTTGCCCAGTAGTCAAGGGGATTGTCTACCTCGGTTGGCAGGGTGCTGTCCAAGTAGGCCCAAGCCTGTTGTTTGAGGTCCTGCTCCAGGTCCACCTGCTGCTGCTGCTGCTGCTGCGGCTGGTTAGTAGTTTCCTCACTGCGCTGGTGAAGAAAGCTACTCATCATCGACTGCAGACTGAGGCAGCTGCTGCTGGTGGAGCTGCCACTGCTCCTACCACCCCCCCCCCTCCCCTCCCCTGCTGCACGCGCAGCGGACACGCGAGCGCACAGGGCCCACAGTGTCTGAGGATGGACGTTGGCGCACAAAGGCAGAGAGTACAACTGACTACATAGGTGGTTTTTTATAGTACGTTATTTTGGCCTCCCTCTCAGCAGGTGTGAAAAAGGCCACCATTTTGGAACGGTAGCGAGGGTCCAACAAGGTGGACAGCCAGCCAAAAGTCATCCCTCTGTCTGATGGTTATTATTCGGCTGTCGCTACGCAAGCAACCGAGCATGCTATGGGCCATTTGTGCCAAGGAATGCGAGGGACTCCCTGCCTCCATCTCCACAGCATACTGCCACGGTGCGTCTGGGTCCTCTGTCTCCTCCTCCTCCTCCTCTACCAGATGCTCCTGCTCCTCCACTCCTGTCCGCTGAGTGGAAAAACCACCCATTTCACTCAATAATTCCTGAGCACAAATGTCCTCCTCTACCTCCTCCTCTTCTTCCTGTCCTGCCCCCACAGGGGTCATGTGGCGTTGAGATCTGTGCGCCACGTCTACCGCACCCTGACCAGCCATTGTTAACAGCATTTGTTCAAGGACGTGCAACAGAGGAATGACGTCGTTCATCCCATAGTCCTGCCGACTCACGAATAGCGTGGCCTCCTCAAAGGGCCTGAGCAAGCGGCAGGTGTCACGCATGAGCTGCCAATGGCTGACATCGAAGTTACACAGGGGAGTACCTTTATCCGCTTGTAACATCAGGAAATCGGTGATGGCCTTTCGCTGTTCGTAAAGGCGGTCTAACATGTGTAGGGTTGAATTCCACCTTGTTGCAACGTCGCAGATCAGGCGATGCTGTGGAATTCCGTTCTGCCGCTGCAGCTCAAGGAGGGTGTGCTTTGCGGTGTAGGAATGGCTGAAATGCATGCAAAGTTTACGTGACATTTTAAGGATGTCTTGCAGTGGGATGGTGGATTTTAAGACCGCTTGACAACCAGATTGAACACGTGAGCCATGCATGGCGCATGGCACAACCTTCCTTGACGCAGAGCAGACACCATGTTCTTTCCGTTGTCGGTCAACATGGTTCCGATTTTCAGTTTGCGCGGAGACAGCCATCTGTCGATTTCTCTGTTCATTACACTCAGAAGTTCCTCCCCTGTGTGACTACGTTCGCCAAAGGCATACCAGGTGCAGAACAGCGTGACACCGTTGCGCCCTGCACATGTGATATGCCGGTCGGGTAATGGGACTTGGCACGGGGGCACGGGGGGGGTGGCTGGGGGCTGAGGACACGGCGGAAGAAGAGGTGGTAGAGGCGGACATCTTTGCCGGACCAAGGACGTGCAAACGTGGAGGCAAAAGCGGCGTGACCTGTCCAAGTTGCTGGTGCGGCTGTGACGGCACCACGTTCACCCAGTGGGCCGTAAATGACATGTACTGTCCCTGACCGTAGTTACAGCTCCACACGTCGGCGCTGCCGTGCACTTTGGCAGAGACCGAGACCGACATGCTCAAAGACTGGCCCCACCATGTCTTCTACATGTGAATGCAGGGCTGGCACTGCCTTTTTGGCGAAGAAATGACGGCTTGGCACTCTCCACCGCGGCGCGGCACAAGCCATCATTTCTCTGAAAGGTGCTGAGTCCACCACTTGGAAAGGGAGGGACTGCAGCACCAGCAACTTGGACAGGAGGACGTTCAGCTTTTGCACCGTCGGGTGCGTGCTCGCAAACTGTTGTCTCTTGGAAACGGATTCCAAGAAAGACTGCTGACGGAATCCGTGAAGAGGAGTAGCAGGAGAAGGAGCATCTGAACGAGCGGAAGATGCCAACGAGCGACAACTCCCCTCAGCAGAGTGTGTTGGAGCCTTGACTGGCTGATGGAGGGCGATTGACGTCGGGTGACGGAGCAAGTAACGGAGCGGGGGTGATGGAGCGGGGGCTGGGGCGGGCAGAACCGCCGTATCTTTATCACGGTTTTCCCAGGCCACCAAATGGCGACGCGACGCTGCATATGCTGCCGCAACGCTGTAGTCCCAACATGGGCCCCCTGGCCACGCTTGACTTTCTGGCCACATAGTCGACATACGGCTACGTTTACTTCCTCGGGCGGCTTGACGAAAAATTGCCACACCGCCGAGTAGGAAACTTTGCCCCCGATACTCCTCACTGGCTGACTGCTGCTTCCTCCGTGCACACCGGCACCACTACTGGCCGTGGTGGTAGGCTGCAGTGGAGCTGGTGCTCTACTCCGTGGCCGTTTGGCTCCACCACTGACACTGCTGCGACCCTGCTGCTGTCTCCTGGGCAACCCACCGACTGTTTTGCTCGCTGCCAAGCTGCCACCCTCTTCTCCTGATGATGCGGAAGAAATTGCCTGATGACGACGAGGCTGCCAAGTGCGATCAACCTCCTCATCATCAAGTAGGGTCTCCGCCTCACTACTAGCCCCCTCGGCTGCGTCTGGGTCAGGAGACAGACCTGTCTCTAGACCGGCTACCGAGCCACTCTCCTCGCCTCCTCGCCACTACTTCTTCGCCTGGCTGCTGAAAAGGCGGATGTCTCCCCCCGTTCCTGACCGCCCTCTGTTAGCTCTTCCTCACTGTACAGTGGGGCTGAGCCCACAGCATGCGATACTTCGCTTGGTGAGGGAACACCAAAGGACAGGGGCAGGTAGAGGACACGTGATTTCAGTGGGCTTGGTCCCGGGCCATGCCAACTAACGGTTGTGTCTGACGTACCCACCGACCGTTGGCTGTAGGTGTCAGAGGTGACCTGGGAAGACGAGACGACCAACCCAACCAATCGACGACGGCAGGGTTGTCGGTGGAGACACGACCGCTGGATGACACCGGGAGCACTGGCCTCTGGCTGCGAATAGTGCTGCCTCGACCCCTTCCTCTGCTGCCACGTCTGCTCGCTCCTAAAACATTGCCTCCTCTGCCACTCCTCTGCATGTTGTCTGACATACTCTTTAATTAAACGATTATGTGTCCCTGAGTAACAATTCTGTGTCCCTGAGTAACAATTCTGTGTCTGTGTGCGAGTAACAATTCTGTGGCCCTAAGTAACAGTTCTGTGGCCCTCAGTAACAATTCTGTGTCCCTGATTAACGTTTCTGTGGCCCCAAGTAACAGTTCTGTGGCCCTCAGTAACAATTCTGTGTCTGTGCGAGTAACAATTCTGTGTCTGTGCGAGTAACAATTCTGTGGCCCTAAGTAAAGTTTCTGTGGCCCTAAGTAACAATTCTGTGGCCCTCAGTAACAATTCTGTCTGTCCCTGAGTAAAATTCTCTGGCACTCAGTAACAATTCTGTCTGGCCCTGAGTGAGTAAAATTCTGTGGCCCTAAGTAAAGTTTCTGTGGCCCTAAGTAACAATTCTCTGGCACTCAGTAACAATTCTGTCTGTCCCTGAGTAACAATTCTCTGGCCTCAGTAACAATTCTGTCTGTCCCTGAGTAAAAAATTCTGTGGCCCTAAGTAAAGTTTCTCTGGGCCCTGAGTAACATTCTCTGCACTCCGTAACAATTCTGTCTGTCTGTCCCTGAGTAACAATTCTCTGGCACTCAGTAGTAACATTCTCTCTGGCATTCTGGCCCTAAGTAAAATTCTCTGTGGCCCTGAGTAAATTTCTCTGGCCCTAAGTAAATTCTTCTGTGGCCCTGAGTAACAATTCTCTGGCCTCAGTAACAATTCTGTCTGTCCCTGAGTAACAATTCTCTGGCACTCAGTAACAATTCTGTCTGTCCCTGAGTAAAAAATTCTGTGGCCCTAAGTAAAATTCTTCTCTGGCCCTGAGTAACAATTCTGTGGCCCAGTAACAAGTTTCTGTCTGGCCCTGAGTAACAATTCTCTGGCCCTCAGTAACAATTTTCTGTCTGTCCCTGAGTAACAATTCTCTGGCACTGAGTAACAATTCTGTCTGTCCCTGAGTAACAATTCTGTCTCAGTAACAATTCTGTGTC